AATCCTCTAATGCAGATAATCGTTTTACAAGTATTTTTATTTTTTCTGAATCCGATTTCTTTTCAATTTCATCGAAATTTAGATTATCACTTAATGGAATTCCATATTTAGTGTTATAACGTCTAGCTAAATTTATTTTAAACTGCCGACGTATTGGTCTGAACAATGGCATCCTTTCACAACAATTCCTACAATATTAAAAATAATGTGAGCTAATGATTTATTAAAGTACACAAAAAAAATCTCATTTTGCAATAGAGTTAAAATACTCTAGATTTCGAATAAATTTTATGAGATCGAAAATCTAGATTCTTACAGAGTTAATAAATGAAAGTTAATTTATTAACTCTATATAGTAAGAATCTTGTAGGAACAACTAGTATCGTTGATCAGATTTTGTGGATTGTGGTCCACATGTACAATCATCCACTTATTACGTATCCGATTACGAACGTTTACGAAATGTAACGTTTTCATAATTTTAAGGTATTTGTCGTATATTATTTATAATCGCGCAATCGGTCGACAATTAGGTGATCAATGATCTAAATTAATTATAAATATGTACAGTATATAGATCATAATCAAGTAATTGTATAACCACAATAAAAAAGGGTACATCATGTAGATATAAAAAGATTTATATTTGGCGACCCACAAAATAATTCTAGAATATTTTAACATTAGCGCAAGATAGAGATTTTTATAAAGTATATAATCTGAAACTGAAATGTTTTATTATTTACCATGGATTAAATTTCGAAGCACCGAAAAAGAATATAATTAATGCAGAAAAAAAGTTATGTATACCTCCAATTTCTGAGAGTAAAGTACCGACTAATAATTTGAAGAAAATATATCAAAGAGAAATAAAGAAAATAAATGAGTTATTTGGGTCTTTGCTTTGAAAATAACCTTATGGGACTATGTCCTGTAAGGTTATTTTCAAGGCAAAAACCCCATTTAAATATACACACATGTATGTTGAAAACTTTCTTTTTCATGGCGAAAAGGAGGCCTGGCAGGTATCAATTCCAGTATGGAGTACGAAGCATTTACTAGAGGAAGTACTTGCTTTTCTTTAAATTCGGTATACATAAATAACTCGTCAGGGTCAAAACTAAATATGCCCCTTGAACGATCCAGATACATATGTTTGTATATTATGGAAAATTCCAAAACAAGCCATTGCCCACGTAGTATTGGATGTGTAGAATTGGAATAATGTACAGTCTGGCTGACCAATTCCGGATAAATAGTGAGCTCAAAATAATCTTGAGTGTTTTGTGGACTTTCAGTTGATATGTTCAAAGTTATATTAAAGACTGTATTTTGATCTCTATTACGTGAATTTAATATGTATCGGTCTGCATCGTTATCGTAATCGTAATCTTTATTATTTACTAGATACAAATCACTGGAGAATTTTTGGCAGCTGAGAGGTTCCAGGATCACGTTCGGATAATAAAATAGTGACGATTGTTTAGTCGTATTTTGTACATAAGACTTACTCTTTGTTAAGTTAAGAAATATCACTATAGCGATAAAAAAAAAAACTGAATTTACTGAATATAATATACCGTATTTCGCGGGCTAAACCACCCCCCCCCTGTCGGATTGTGCGGATATTTCCATGGTGCATATCAAATTAATAGCCTGTTCATTGTTATGAAACAATCGCAATTATTAAGCTAACGATTGGCTTTCAAAATAACAAACGTTAAATATCAAATTTTCGATGAAATTGAAAAGAAATCGGATTCAGAAAAAATAAAAATACTTGTAAAACGATTATCTGCATTAGAGGATT